ATCAAAGCAACAGTAGTTCGCTCAATTACAGATATCAGTAAACTAATTCCAATACATACCCTGCTGAGTAGTACCAATAAACATAGCGAATCTCGATGCTCGTGTCGACATCTTGACCTCATCAAAACGGACTTTTTTTTTCGCTTCACACTTCAATCTCCTTATTTCTTTCTGACGGCAAAACTTTACGTGGTTGAAACGCTCTTTCTGGGTTTCACACTGAAGAAGCCTTGCCCAATCCCGGTCTGACAAGTAGTTAGGGAAATAATTATAGCAACGAGACAACATCTGCAAACGATGCAATTACTTTAATATATGTAAAGCAACACGGATAAATAAAATTTGAAGTATTTTAGTTAGGGAACATTCAGATAACAGCTTGACAGCTATTTTTTGGTAGCATTGTCGCAAAATAATGAAAAAACATTTCTTCACAATAGAATTACTCCTTGAATTTCGTAACTGCAGAAACGTGATGAAACTATACCTTCATTTCAGTATAGATGTTCGAAAACAGTTGCAACTGAGATGGACTTAAATTCTGCATAAACTGTTCGGAAGGTCGGGAATCCAAAGTTTCTTCCTCTTAAAATTATTCAACAGAAATGTAGATGAGTGATGGTTTATACTTTAAGAGAACCCTCACTTACTCCATAATACTGGCCAACATGGACTTAGTCTCAGTATCTTCTGCAGCTTCCACACCATTGTTCTCCAGCTGTTTCTAATAACGTCCTGACTGAAAGCGAACTTCCTCCACATCTTTTTATCTAACATATGCACTCCCTGCAAATGGCAGAAACCATCAGAAGTTCCGAAAAAAATCACAAATCAACATGTGCAAGCACTTCAAAATGGAAAATGATGGGAGAAAATGGAAATGAAAAAGGTTTACGGAATCATTCACCCATTCGTAGGCAAAAAATAGAAATAAGCTAGACAAAAACCACTAAAATTACAAACTTTATTGGCAACCGAAACTGAAAAGTAGAAAAAAAAAGAACCAGAGCAAGCAACAACAGATGGAAGTTTCGGTTTTCAGCCAGCCAATGTGTAACCTCACAAATTTCAATTAAAAGTGTCGGAAATTATATTAAATTAGTACATCAAATTTGCTACCGTAACGCTTATAGCTATCAAGTTTACGAAAGTTTCAAAAAAAAAACAACATCCGACGAAGAATTATATAGCTTCGTTAAATAACAAGTATTTTAGTTGAAATCTGCATCACTGATTTACAATTTTAAGCTCTGTACAAAATTCAGGTATTCTTTTAATTTTCTGAAGTGAATTTAAGCGTGTACTGAGATTCTCCGGCATCTTTTGTACTCTGCTTGCCAAAACGCTACCCTTGACCGTATTCCGAGTTTCTGATCGTAACAGAGCCTTCTTTGCATTACCTTAAAATATTATGAATTACAAAATTTTTTGGACTGAATAGTACAGCAATTTCTTGACTACATGAATATGAATGTAGTGCTAACTTGAGATAAATTTTCGCGCATTTTCGGGACGAACACCAAAAAGAACTAGCATATTAGCAGCATCGTAAGGTGCTCGAATGTCGATCATCGCTTCCGCACCACTTGCAATTACGACACCATCACCATTTTTTGTGGATCTAATTAGAAGCCTACCATTTTTTAAAACCTGTAGATAATAAAATTTAAAATTGTTCTTACTACGCACTAAAAGAGCAATAAAACTTATATCCAGAATAGAAATGCACAAAAATATATTAAAATAGGCTCAACTAAATCAAAATACAAAAAATTGTACAACCTCTCTTCTTGTGCTACTGTCTTTCAAAGCTTCGCCATAAGTGATCTCAAACGTTATGCCATCATTGATACAAAGCTGAATAATCTGTAATAAAATAAAATTTGACTGTTTTGCATCTTACTTCAGTAACGTTATTCCAAAAAAAAAATTGAAATACTCAAATGTAAGAGTAAAATGTATATAGATACTCCCTCATTAATATACCAAGAAAAAACGAAAACTATTTTTTTAATCGTGATCTAGTTTTAGGGAAATCTCGTAACCTTGCTTTTATTGAGCCAGTTAACAGATCTGGATGCTTGATCATAAGTTATGATATCAATAAATTCACCCTTCTTACTGAATATCTGAAGGATTTGTTCATCTGCCGGACGTACTGCTATTAAATCATACTTTTGCACTTGTGGATCACTCTTAAGAGAGTGAACCTCACTACTGTCTGATATTGTGACAGTTAAACGGCTGAAAATTCGAATCTTCAAAACCTTCAATCATTTGCTTTAAAGTTTCGATTACATGATATTCTTTCTGGCAGAAAATACGAAAAAAAAAACAAACGATATTTCTATTTTCAGAGCATTTATATTCAAGCTTTTAAAAGCCTGAAAACTCCAGAAATTACTCACAGGAAATAATAAGTACTGGAAAAAAACTAAACCTAAAAAGTCTCAGGTGCTTCCCATTCGCTTCTAGCCAACTAGTGTCTAGTGCACTAGTGTCAATAACAACTGGATCGGGTATAATATTTTGTCTTTTGAGACGCTTCCTCATTTTTTTAGATAATGATTCACAACCCTGAAACAAGATAAGGACAGTGTAAATTGTTCAAGAAAATATTCTAGCTTACCACAATTACTCTTTGATTTTCACATTATTAGAGCGTGCAAAGAGTAATGAATTGAACATTTATGATGTTAATTTCCTCCGTAAAAAAATCGAGTCAAGCATTAAGTTGAAGCTACCACTAACCCGATCACCGAAATCCGGCGAAAGTGCTCCAATATCTGTATTAATCACAATAGAATCATAACCCATCTTTATTGCACGACGTACCATTGACATAGTCTTATCTACACTTTTTGTATGTCTAATGTTCATCTCAGCAAATTCAAAATGATCATTCACAAACAAAGGCATTCTGCTGAAAACTCATGAGGCATTGTGGATTGAGAACAAGCAATATCTGTACATTTCAGCTTTTAAATCTATATAGATTATATAGATTTGCAAACTACGAGGTTTGTAAAATAAAATGAACGACTTGAACTAGAATATGACACTCATTATTTGTAAAAAGCTGACAATTAATACAAAAAAATTTATTAGTAACTAGTTTTCTTCATAATGAACGTACAGATGAATTTCGTATACTGAAAACACTAAATATACAATCAGATTCAAAATTACAACGTGATAATTGAAGATGAGATATTTTCACTGAAGTTCGAAACTGCATAGAGAAAATCTGAGTCCACTGACTTCCTGACGATAACTGATCTGATAATGAAAAACCAGAAAAACTTTTACACGAAAGCTCTTAAAACGATACCAAAATTATTAACTTCCAAAATAAAAAAAACGGTAAAACTGAAACATATGGGTCCACAAACTGTGCCTTTGTGATGGCATACAATAATAGAGTGAGTGCTAAATTATACATTCCAAAACAAAACAATTTATAACCAAATTTATTACACTAATAATGCAAATAAACTAATTCTTACGAAGAAAAAGGATATTTTAAAAGCACAACGAAAATATCAGAAGTAGTCAAAATAAAAAGGAATTCATCAGCAGCAAAAGTACCAACAATATTTTCCGTTACGGCACAAACATCTCCAGATGTACCAACTTTTGTAAGTGATATTAGTTGCTGCTTAGCAACTCCAACAACTCTTTTACTTGTTTTCCGATTACGCAAGTCTAAAAGCAGGAGTACAGTAAAAGTCTAATAATGCTATATATTATAAGCATTTCAAGATTAAGTTTTACAATTTAAACACACCAGATGTGATCGAAGCAAGCTGCCAGTATACAAATGCATGCCGTTTCGCTTCTACAATAACAGCATATGAACAATCTGCTGGACATGTGGTGAATCTTCGTTGTATTTTAGATGCCTATACAAATATAATTCAGAAACAAAAAATTAATTTTTTTTGGATGGATGTAAAAAAATGAGTGTATTCAAAAAATCACCATCGAAACTATTTTCGACACGATGTAAAAATAACTAATCAATTAGTACCATACTTGGACATATCCAAGTGCGCTAAATGTTGCATGATGCTTAACTTTTTCGCTCCCTTTTGTAAATTTCCATAAAATGCCATCAACATCCATTCGAATGCACAAAAATCGAGGACCATTGTATAAAGGTACAGAAAATAACACATTGTGAGTAGTTATATCACTCTGCAACATGCAACTCTACATTAGCAATGCAAGTGAAAAATATTCAACTACAATTCAGCCCTTTACATCACTTAACTTCAAACCTTTTTCTCCACCGCTAATAACACAAAACTATTTCAAAGTATCCAAATTATGAAAGGAGAGACTAGAAAATTCAACAAAAATAAAGATTATGATATACTCTTCAATATCCATATTAAGAGTGAATGTTTATTCCTTGATTCTGACTGATTAAAAATGCATGAATAAAGTAAACTATAAAATTAGAATTGCAAATCACCTCGTGAGTCCATTTCATAGTAGAACAGTTCAGCCAACAAATCCTACAAATATCATCTGCACTAACATCACAGTCTTCCATTTGCTCCGTATTAAAAGATTGATCACCAAAACCAACAGAAACCTAAACAGAAATCGAGTACCTTAAATGTTGGTTCTAAGAGAAAAATTCGACCATCACAAGTTAAAAAATAAGTAACACCAATATGTAACAAAACGAATTAATTTTCGAGCACAAACCTGCGACTCACAAGTGAAACGCTCCAGTAATTCCGATGCAGCATTTAGAGAATCTGTGTCGATTTCATACGTGCCCTGGTTATCACCCAAAACCAAATCCAACCAGTTCGTCAAACTTCCTTCACTTTTGCACAGAAACAATTCAATTCTTAAATAAATTACATAACCAATATATGACAGTGAATTCCTAACACTTAATATGCGAAAACTGATACGTGATCATTATATATATAATATATATATATGCTTTTAATGATCCTAAAACTCAGTTATATGTTTGAAATAAACAGTAACAATCCAGACATAAACTAGTAAAAAACGAAGTACTTGTTATTATCAACAGTATAAGTTGACGATGTTGGGTCAACTGAACCACCAAGTGTTCCACTAATTAATATTATATCCTTTACTGATAAATGAATAGATGTTGCACTCAAAGATAAAGAGATATCTTTCTTCGAAACTGTTTCAGAGCAAGTAAATACTGCTGTGACATCCGTAGCTGTTTGCGACCATGCGTACTTTTTTTTTAATTGTGTTGCTTCAACTTCTGTAAGTACTCAGAGACAAAAAAACATGTAAACTTATTAATCTCAGCTTTGTACAACTTTAGCAAAAAATTTTGCTTGAAAATTTTACTTGAATTTCTTTCTTCTTCGTTATTTATATCGCTACAATCACAGTCTTTAACTTCACAGAAATTTATTTCGCCAGTAGCAACAATAATCAAACTTTCTGGTGTTTCATCGAATGTAATCATTTCAATATGGCCAGAGCAAATAATACTACGAATGCCAGACACTTCCATCTTTCCATTTTCTACAGAATTTACAAATCTCAATAAATTTTCTTCAAGTTATTCAATTTTCCACATTTCTTATTCACAGTGAAAATACAGCAAAAGAAACTTTCCAATTCTACAAAATAATCCGCAAAAAAAGCTGGGAACTTCGAAACTTTTTAAAAAAGAAACATAAAATTAAAATTATGAAATATTCAGACAATTTCATGGATAACATTCATGTGATTCAAATTAGAGAAACATACTATTGTCGACAGTTAACCAAACTGCCTTGTCCACAAAATTACCATGACTTGAGGGTTTTTTCCCTGGTATAACAGATCGCAACAATATATCAAACTTGTTTTCTACACAGCGACTTTCAAGTATAACGAACGAGTTAACTACACCATCAACTAAAAGCGGATCAACACTCAAACATTCCTGAAACAAACAAATTTCAAGACATTCACTTACAATGCCCAAGTAGAGCAGAAAAATTAGCAAGTAAAGAATTATTGACCGATATTTCACAAACAGATGCGAACAAGTAAATGAATCGTACCTCCCATGTTCTCTCCTCCCATCGATTACCAGTATTATACAGTGTTAGATGGCCAAAACCATTAGATACAAAAGCGTAATTAGCATTTGGAAATGATATTGTAATTGGATATCGATCATCTATCTGGTCATGAACAGTGGGAATAACAATATGAGGTAAATGTTTGCGGACTAAGAATTTTTTTGTCTGCAAAAACAATATTTTGATAGATGTTTTTGGCTTGCTACTTCAACTTCCAAACTTTAGTAATATTCTAACCAAAAATATATAGCAAAAATTTTTTAAACGTTTTCAATTTTCTGCCGATCAAAAACTCCTGTTCATTCTGAAAAGTTACTTTTTATTTATCAAATTTTTAATTTAGATGAATTTAAAAAGTTACTTTGCAATTCATGGTAGCCTCAAGAAAAATACTTCTTATACTTTTTACAAATTTTACTCAACAAAGAGAGCCAGAAATAATGCAGAAGTAGAAGTTTCAATGTCGCATTTAAAAAGATGTAAAAATGAATCTGAAACAATATCAAAATAGTAATACGATCAATTAGTTGCGATATTAATAAAGATATCAAATACTAAGCCTGATCCCTATGAATTACAAAATATAAACTGAAAACTGAGGTACCTGTGTATCAAAACTGATTAAGCACAACTGCAAATCCTGTAAAACAGTCATAAAATGAAGGTTTGTTGAGTTGGATGAAAATGGATCATACGTCAGGTAATTTATATCGCTGAATAATTTGCTGTGCTTAAATCCATACTGAGTATTACTAGTCTGCAATTCTCGCACTGAAATAATTATTCTGTTATTGTTATAGTTTCTGAAAATTATCTTTAATTATTTTTTCCATAGATGGTTAGTACTTTTTTTAAACCATTACTCATAAATTTCTAGTAGTTTTGGTTTACCTAAATTACTGAGTAATTAAATTAGTTATATTGTATGATATAAATTAGTTATATATACCTACTCAAAATACTAGTAGTCTTAAATACGGCAAATAATTACATTTGCCTGATTTATATCGGCCGTACTGGAACTTCGTACAAATCAGATAGTGTAAAAAATAATCGAAATTTTTTCACTAATTCAATTTCATTCTACACATATATAGTAAGAAATTTATGTATATAAATGAAATTTTTTAAAATTACTTTCAGTAAGGAAAGCATCACTGTTATGAGCAGTGACGGAAGAAATTAGTATACAATATTTGAGTACTATTAATTTTATAAAAGTAATTAAAAATTAATTTTAAAAGCAATAAACAATGTTGTATTATTTATTTTTATTTCTCGCCATAAGCAACTGATAAATGATTATACCGGGAGGGTCAAGAGGATGACTGTAAATAGGAAAAGGATCAAGAGATAGCTTATAACCATCAAATTTCGAATCCAGTAACGATGAATCCAATTTAAAATCGACATGACTTTTCTGAATGTAACTCATGACTTCTGACTAATCCTAAAATCTGATTACAGTAATTCTTTGATTAATGGAAAAAGCAAAACAAATTACAAAAGCACATTTTACATTTTATTCACAAGTTATATTTTGCAAACTATACGTTTCGACTAAGTAATGGGACGAAAAAACAGAAGCAAACCTACACACTTCTGACTTATTTTGTTCCCTACAAGTACCAATTATGAGACTAGAAATACTGTACATACATAGATTTTAGTACAAAATTAATCCCAAAATTCGTAGTAAAAAAGCCATAGTATTGTCTTATACTTTGAAAACAAATCATAACTTCAGTTGAAGCGTCTTTTATAATACTCAGAAAGACTCATGCAATAATTGAAACGAGCGAACAAGAATAACACCAAATTTAAATGTACTGATTTTCTCAAAGTTGCATTTTTCTGTGACTACTTTTCACACTTACTACGTTAAATCTAGCTGCTGAAACTTGAATACGTAAAGTTGTGTAATCTCTGGTGAGATTGATTATAGTTTTAAATCTGTAAACTGGTGATTGCTGTTGTGTGGTTACCGTGTTTTTGTGAATCTGATCAGATACTTCAATAAGTGTGAAATTCTGAAAAATTGGAATTATGCTAATTTGAAAAGAGAAGTTGTCTGAAAGCTAGCAGTTTGTACATATTCTCAAAATCGTAAGACTACCCAAGTCCATGTAATACTTTGGACGGCTGTTGATCGCGTCAGCCAGACACTATTATTCATTCATCATCACTATTATCTAAGTCATTATTTGTATTGATAATAATAATATTTGTAGCACACATAGAGAAAGCTGACACCGAAAGTTTGACAGTATGACAAAGTACGCAAAACTAAGTCTCAGATCTGGAAAGCAGTCGAAAAACAAATGAGGTATTCAGGAAAGCTCCATAGATGATGTGAGGGAGTACTTCGCTTCTGTTCCGGATCAGGTGCCAGCAGAATGACCTGAAGCATCATCTGTAAAATCGAAGTTCAGCAGAGCAGCTTGCCGATGAAGTGCTGGAAATGGTTGACTGTTTCGGAAGATGTTGAGAGATGGCCTTGCATGGTCTCCTCTATGACGAGAATTTGTTATTAGCCTCCAAGAACTGAAGAAGTTAGCAAATTTCTGTAATCACAGTATTGCAGGTTGTCTGTACTCACAGAAACGATTCTCAGAGGGGCCAACGAAGCGTGTCAAAATACAAGACACGTATTCGAGCAAAATACGCTACACGAGTCAAGATATATCTGGATGTAAAGCAGAAGTACCTGGGGCTGATACAAGAAGCCCAGGACGAGCTATAAACCAAGCAAAGTAAACGCGGAAAATAATCCCGTAAAACGCTAACCCGTTTATACTTGAAGTGGTGAACCTAGCAGCGGGTAATATACCACGCAGAATCTCCTCAAATCAATGACCCATATTGGAAGGCAGAGACAGTGCTATGGATATGACAAGGCGAAAGAAGAAGCCTTAAAGGTGGAAGGCAAGCATAGAAAGGAGATGCATAATTTGATCACATGTACATAATGACCTTGGAAACAGCATCTGGAGATCTGAACAGATTTCAGTTAAAAACAAAGTAGAAACAAACACCAACGTAGCTCTACTGATGACAAGTTTTGGTTAACTATATATTTCTAGCAATTTTGTTTGTTTATTTGTTATAGTTCATGTGATCTGAAATTAATTGACCTGCACTCAAAGGCTTTCACTTTTCAACCCAAAATGGTCCAAATTTAGACCTAGTGACTCGAACTTTAACACTCTAAAAGCAAATAACTGCTACAAGTAGATGAAATTTTAATTGCTGCGGCGAACGATACAAATGAAATCAAGATTTTAAGGCATGACAGATAAAACAAGCTAATTTGTTGCATCCTCTGTACGTGTAGATTAATTTTTGAACATATTAAATATTAAAAAATAATTATTTATTTTTTGATAGGCTTAAACTTCATAAGCATTTAACATGTAATAGAAGAAATATTTGTTGAAGGAATTTTGCAAGAATATCATAACATTGCAGTTTTCGTACACACAAATATACATTTTTTTAATTTTTGTTTTGTGGTAAAACTCGCAGTTATTTCTCAAGAACTGCGCTATAAATTTGAACGCATATTCTAACTGGACAATTTTAAAAAAATGCAGGTGAAACCGCGTACATGAGCACACATACCGGTGAGTGACCGACCATACAAGCAGGACAGATATATGCGAGAAGAAATCACGCAGTGCACGACTTTGAAGAAACACAAATATATGCACATATTGCATTAAAACTATTTGAATAATTTTTCTGGAGCTAAATATGAAAAGTCATATCAGTGCACACAGTTATCAACGATAACTTCGTAGTTTTGTGAGGTTTTTAATTATCAGAAAGATAACTTTCAGCTTTGACTTTTTGCTGGTGTTACTTTTGATTGACACTCAGTTTACTTTTATGGATCTTGCTTTATTTTCTACTGATGACCTGTTTTTTGCAAATTTTTTATAATATTGATTCGTAAAATATTTAAGATTCATTTTGTAGATGAAAAAGAAAATAAACTGATCTCGGAGAGATTAGTATGTGGTAGTATACAATTTCTCGCGCAGTGCAACTCAATTTCTAT